TTCATTCATCATCTCCTCCCTCCAGGTAGCTGAGCACAGGGAAGGGACCTCAAGGATGGTACTCAAATGGTCATGTGCCTTGTCAAAACATGTTTCCATGTTCAAAAAGGAGGAACAAAGGGGCCCTGATGAGATTGTCCTTCTGTAAATGTTTCTCTTATGAATTGATGAATAAAGCATTGTTTGGCTAATGAGGCAGGAAGATAGGCAGATTTGAGAAGAGGGCTGGGAAGTGTAGGAAAAAGCAGTCATGATGAAGCAGGAAAAGGAGTCTCAGGTCTGGCATCTCCATAAGCCAAGACCACGAGGAAATACATAGATTAGTAGTTATGGGTTAATAAGAAGCCAATAAAAAGCCCTAGTCATTAGCCAACAATGTTATAATTAATGTAAGTCTCTGAGTGTTCATTTGGGGCTGACAGGGCTGTGGGAACAGGCTGGCGGGAAGGACCGTCCATAACAGGCCCCACAGCAAAGACTCACACAGAACCAACATTCTCGAATTTAGGTAAAATACCCTCAGGAGAAGGAACATTATGGTCTGATTGCAGAGCAGGCCTGGGTTCTAGCCTGGTACCTGAATCTGGAATTTGTGTGCCCTGACCTGACACTGTCAGTTAAAGAAGCACTAAAAGTACTAGAAGTACTTCGGGCATGGTGGCAGATGCCTGTAACCCCAAAGATTAACAGGAGCAAGACCATGAATTCGAAGCTATCATTTGTACATATTGAATTTGAGGCCAACCTGGGCTACATGAAAGCCTGTGTCAAAACCAAACAAACAGCAAAGCTCACCAAACTGCAAACACTGCAGAGAGGCCACAGAAGCTGCTCATTGTTACTTCACTTTGGTTGGAGACAGAGACTTGAAGATGTCATGGTTTTTCTCATTAGATTCATTTAAACAAATTTTGTGACTATTAATATTATCTTTGAAATAATATATATAATGTTGAAGAGGAAATCAAGAGCTTCTCCATTTCTGTGACCTCAAACCCAATGCCATGTGAATTTCTGCTCTGGCCTTGGCTATCTGCAGAGGCTGGGAGACTTCATATCTGAGGAGCACATGACTGACGTGGCCACCCAGCCCCACCCACCGGGCCTTTAGGACACAGTGCAGAGTCTCTTTTGGGGCTCCTGGGCAGGGGGGCAGGGGGTGCTATGTGAGATTGGGCAGCATATGAGGGAGATGAAGACGATGATGTCATCCTAGGGGAGACAGAGGAGGTCAGATGGGGTCAGGGCACCTGTGCTGTTGTAAGGCCCCAGTTGCAGCCTGAGTGTCCTGTCTCCACCCCAGGCCACCATCCTCCCCACCCTCTCAAGCCCCTCCTCCACTGCATTCAGGCCCCGGTCTGGGCGGGATACTGTGGGTTTGGATGTTATCTCTGGGGTAAACAAACCAAGGAGTGGGAGGGAAGGTGCTGTGACAGGAGGGGTGGACAGATGGACAGTTTTCATCAGTGATGGGATCTGTAGGGTCAGGACACACAGGGACTGCGCTGTGGGTAATCTGAGCGGAGTCTCTGGAATTGGATGACTCAGAGAGAAATAGGAAGGGTAGAGCCTGTGGGGTATAAAATCAGAGTCTGACTGGGGGGACACGACCAGGAAGTGGAGTCTGGAGAAACACAGACCATCCTGGAGAGACCCTGTCTACTCAGGATGAGGCCTGGATAACACCTGGAGGCAGATCAGCTGTGAAAGTTGCCTGCATGACTATGTGTGTCTGTGTGCAGGAGCACGTGTGTGCAAGTGTGTGCTCATGACTGTGTGTGCCTGTGTGCAGGAGCACGTGTGTGCAAGTGTGCGCTCATGACTGTGTGTGTCTGTGTGCAGGAGCACGTGTGTGCCAGTGTGTGCTCATGACTGTGTGTGCCTGTGAGAAAGATCATGTGTGTGCCAGTGTGCGCTCATGACTGTGTGTGCCGGGAGGCAGGAGCACGTGTGTGCAAGTGTGCGCTCTTGACTGTGTGTGCCTGTGTGCAGGAGCACGTGTGTGCCAGTGTGTGCTCATGACTGTGTGTGTCTGTGTGCTCAGGGATATGGAGGCGAAAGGACAACCTCAGAAGTTACTACTGCTCACCACACCATGTGCCTTGGACTTTTTTTTTCTCTCTCTTTTTATTATTATTATTATTATTATTATTATTATTATTATTATTATTATTAATTCTAGTTAGGGAACAGGCTTGTTTTATATTTTATTTTCTGGGGCTCCCCCAAGACCACCAAATCTTCCTGTGTTGGGCCTAGGTTCCTCTCTATGTGTTCAGAGACAGAGTGCATCCCTTCAAGTGGGATGGGCTCTCGAAGTCCGCCACACATACCAGAGAAAAACGCCAGTCCACCTCCGGAGGCTCCCAGGAGTGCAGGGGCCTCC